TGCTCCGAGGTGTCCTTTGGATACTTTGTTCCTTTGCCATCTCTCAAATATTAGTTATAATTTGCTGCGAACCATAGCCGAGGCCCCGTGTGCTAAATGAAATGACCTGTCATTTTCAGAATGGATCTTGTAAACAAAAACTCTCCACGGCTCAATTTATATCCAGAGAAAACGTTTTCAGATTGGATTACCAGTCCAAGTAATTTATCTTCCCAGGGGCTGGGAATCTTTGTGCACTCCTAAATTTAAATGTTCATGGTCTGTGATTTCCAGCTTGTAAGTTTGCTGATAGTATGTACTGGAAGTGAATGCCCTGCTGATCTTCTATTGCTATCAATGGGGAAAAGAAGGTATCTTTGCTAGAAAACTTACATTTGCTCAAAGGTGTCCTCAGTTTCCCTAGCATTTTGAGTGTGAATAAAGGGTAGCTATAGAAATAGGGTTGGTTTGTTTTTTAACTAATCCCTGAACATAGGGATCCCAGACAAGGCAGTAAATGTTTGGACATGACAACCAAGGCTGGAAATCTGTTGGCGTCATACACATATGCAAGGTATGTGGTTATCTGGCCATCACATAAATCTATTAGTTCACAGTTGTGTAAGAACATTTACCAAAGTGTAACCATTGCACATGCAGTTGCAGATTCTGAGATGGTGTATTCACCAGTGCCTTCAATGTACCACTTGATTCACTGTCATGCCAGAAACACTAAGCATATTTCTAGATAGACAATGGGTTGCACAACTTTGGTATTCAGTACTGGCCGATGTACACCCACCACTAGTTAACCATGCAAAGGGAGATGTACACTGCTAAAGCACAATGTAGGATGTCCCCTTCTATCCTTTTTTTAAATTTTATATTAGAAGCTTAGATCTGGTTAGCACTCAGGTAGGAGACCACCAGTAATGCCCAAATTATCCAGATAGGGCTGGGATGGTATCTTCCCTGAAATCTTGGAAAGCCACTGCCAGTCAGAATTTATAGTTCTTAACTCCATATGCCAATGGTCTAGTAATTGATTTTGGCCCATATATGCTGCTTTAAAAAAATAATGAAAAAAGTACATGGTGTAATTACTTTCAGTAGATTGAGAGCCAACATGTTGAGTATTTTGAGTGTTAGACTAGGGCACTGGGAGGCCAGGGTTCGAATCCCTGCGCAGCCATGGAAACCCACTGGGTGACCATGGGAAAGTCACACTCTCTTAGCCTCAGGGAAAGGCAAGGACAAATCCCCTGAACCAATTTTGCCAAGAAAACCCCATAATAGATTTGCCTTAGGGTTGCCTTACATAGGAAATGAGTTGAAGGCACACAACAGTAACACAACAGGACTGAGAAACAACCAGCCTCACATGATGGATTGGAAAAAATCCATGCTAAAACCTATGTTGGCACATTGTTCCTCCTTTGTCCCCAAAAGTTATCGCTTAAATATGCACTGATTATTCTGTGCAGTCTATCCATCTTTTCTGTCTCTGGAAAATATTTCAGGGGAGAGTACAAATTAAAATTCAAAACAGCAGCAGGTCAAATGTCAAAGCATACCTTTGGCATTGCAGTATGTCCTGCCATGAACCAAGGAGGAAAGGTTAATGCCAAACCAGTTGATTATAAGTAAGCACAAAAAGAGGATGAAATCCATCTTCCAGCAGTCCCATCCCCAGCTATTAAATTCAAAGGAAGCCTGCAGGTGGTCAGGAAAGTTATGGACCCATCATCTGATAGAGAGACAGATCACTCATTCACTTTCTGGTAAGAGGCCAAATTCTTGAGAGGAAGTCATATATCTCATATGTCTAAGTCCACAGAAGCAGTTCCTGTGATGCAGAACACACTTCTTCCATCTCCAAGTGCTCGAAGAATCCACTCTTTCCAAATACGGTTGTGAATTTCATAGATTTATTGGCTCAGCCTGGAACTTCGCTCTTCCCTAGATTTCACACTTCTCTGAATGCTACAGTGCAGATCTTGACAGTTTAAATGGATCAAATATGGGTTTTTAAAAAGCTTTTCAGAAAAGAAATACACACTATGATGGGTGTTAAAATGCCTTCTAAATATTGGCTAGAATTCTGTTGGTGTCTTATGCATTCGCCATCTTCCCTATGGACATAGCTGGATGTCTTTTGTCTGATATTGAATATCTGGATTCAGTCCATGGTTGCAAAAGTGGGGCTGCATACATGGTGTCATTGCACATGGGACTTAGGGAAGGGATTTGGCTTTTGCTGCATTCCTGATAACATTGCTGGGGGAAAAAAATATTGTGGCTATGAAGTCTGCATTTGGGTTCCAAAATCGCTTTGTTTGGCAAATCCAATCCCAATCATTTGTGGCCTGAAATTCTAAAATCCAACACTTGTGTCCTTCAAACCAGAGCTTGGAAAATCTACGTTGCTAGAATACAACTTCCAGACTCCTCCAACAGACCAACATGTCCTTCAGAAATTAACAGGAAGGCAATGCAATTCTCTGAGCACAGTTGTACCATTGGCTGACCCCTGTTGTGTCTTTTGTAGAGTTAGACATTAACAGCCCCAGTGGAGAGAGAAGACATCAGAGAGATCTGTTGTGAAATATCTTAATTTGATTCATGCCCCCTCCACTATTTGATGGTTATTGTTTGCTGAGGCACACAAATGAATCCCATTCCCTATTGCAAGCACTTGTTGTAAGGATTATATATAGAAAGACATCAGAGATAAAAATGAAAGCTGACTTTTAAGTAGAAGTGCCCCCCCTCCGGTTACTAGCGTTCATTTTAAAACTGATTTATGTCAATGCAACAATACAGAACAGATGTGGTTGCTTGACAATTTTTAAATAAGACATTCTTTTATGACAGATGGTTTCATGGTGGATGAGTGGCATTCCACTTATGGGAGAGCAGTTCTCTGTTAATATCAACCTAGACGACTCCGAACATAAATAAGTATACTGTGGCAGAGATGCTGCATCAACTGGGTAACTTTACAGTTATGGAGTTATGGAGAAGTTACACTGCTAAGTCATTGAACTGTGATGTTGCACAACTCAATGCATACTGTGCCTTCATGCACTCTGCAAAGTTTGCATCAACATGCATAACTCCATTGCTGCAACCTTTTCCACATTGGACAAAAATGTCTAACTGCTCCTATATGGGAACTTAGAAATACATAAGACAACAGAGTTCTGGCTTTGTGTGTGTGTTTGTGCATGCATTTGTTAATATTTGCTGTTATTTGCTATTAAGTTGGCTTCAATTTAAGATGATCTTATGCATGAAAAGACCTTCATGTTTCCTGGCCATCAGCAGTTCTGCTCAGTTCTTGAAAATTCAAGATCATGATGGAGTCAATCCATTTTTCAGTGGCGTCTTCCTCTTTTTCTCCTGCCTTCCACTTTACTGAACATGATAATCTTTTGCAAAGAGTTATGTTGTCTTATGATAGTCCAAAGTACGGTAGCCTTAGTGTCCTCCCTTTAGCTGCAAGTGAAATTTCAGGCTTCATTTACTCAAGGAGCTGAGAAGAGGCTGTATGTCAAATTCTTAGCAGTCCAGATCTCTTCAGGGGTTTTTTGCAACCTCCTATATAAGCCTGGCTAAGCTTTGCTAAAATCTGACATGTCTCTCTCACACACATCTTGCAGGGACAGAAGCCCTGAGGAAGGAGTGTTATAGTGCTTTATGAAAATGAAGTTATAGTGCTTTATGAAAAGGTTGTCGCATAGATGTAGGCTTGGCAGTCATTCTCTGATGTCCCAGAGGACAGGACTGTTTGCATTGTGTTCAGTCCCAAATTTCCTGGATTCTGATTTTAAACTGGAATAGAGTAGCCCTGAAAGAGGCATAATGAGTGACTGGCTAAAAACTCGAATGAGAGAATTCCACTTTGCAACCCTTTATTGCAGAACTCCCTTGCAAGTACTGACTTAATCCCTATTTTTTTAAAAAACCCACAGTATTGTTGAGACAGCAGGTAGCAAATAACTAGTTAAAATCAATTAAATTATCGATTAAGTTTTTTTTAAAATATGAGAAGGGAGAAGTCCATTAGATTTATTTTTAAAAAATATAAATTGTAGTGCAGGCATTTTAACTTAAACCACAATTGAAGGTAAACTTAATAGGTTTCTCCATATTCCAACATAAAATGTAATTGAATGAGGGTTTTTAAACGATTTTTAACAATTAATGAAAGGTATTATGCCTTTTCTTCATCCTTTCTCCAGTAGAGAGTCGGCGAAAGGTTTTTACAAGACTGGAAGAGCTACAGGCGGTGTTGCAATGTTCTAGCTCAAGTATAAAGAGCGCCAAAGGTAGGTGACACTCATTTCTCAACCTCACAATGCCTGAAAAGCCTTGGTGACCCCGTGAAGATTGCTGCGTTGTGACTGTCTAGTTTCCTTGGGCTCCGCTTGACTTTCACAAGGGCTCGGATAAGGCAGGCTGGTCTTTCCTAGTGCAGAGCAAAAGAAATAAACTCTTCTCCTCCGTCTACTGAAAAATGATAGTCTCCATACGTCACTTGGGGACGATACACTCCGCTTAATACAATCTATATCATGCAAACCAGTGACAAGGCCTATCCATTCTCTATGCACTGCCAAACCTGAAAAGTCACAAGGCTAATTTTTTGTGGCAGTCCTCCCTCTCTACCACATCCTTTCCCCTCTCCTTCCAAGTCAAAGAGTGAGAAGAAATTCTTGGCTGGCAAGAAAAATGTTTTCTTGTCTTTTGCCATCTGCATGTACCTTACATTGAACAGACAGCAATAGCAGCCATCACATTATATTGTCTGGGTAGGAGCTTGATTCATGCCCTTTCTCCTGAGTAGGTGCTGTGTGTGTGTGTTGTCTGTGCCTTCAAGTCATTTCCAACTTATGGCAACTCTAAGGCAACCCTATCATGGGGTTTTCTTGGCAAGGTTTGTTCAGAGGAGGTTTGCCATTGCCTTCCCCTGAGGCTGAGAGTGTGTGACTTGCCCAAGGTCACCCAATGGGTTTCCATGGCTGAGCAGGGAATCAAACACTGGTCTCTAGAGTTGTAGTCCAACATTCAAACCACTACACCACGCTGGCTTAGCTCAAAGTGTCTTGCTTGTGCAAATGTGACAGAATTGTTCTAGAACAGGAATGGGAATCTTGTTGGCATCTTAAATATCTGTTAATTCCCACTCTCTGATGCAGAATATTCACAGTCAAGTCAAGGTTGCAGAAGGGAAGGCATTCATGCAGCATCAATGTGCTTGTAGATATGTCTTGAGCACAGGCTTGCATTGCAGATGGATGTGTATGTACATTGAGCTGTGTATTCAGTTGACGTTTGGTGTCTTGGCTTGCTGTCCTGGAAACTGCATGGCAAACACGGCCCCTTTGGACCAGGATCAGTCTGGCACTGCTGGATTGTTGTCCAGACTGGCTGATGTTGTCCATTGCATGTTGATATGCCTTGTGCACAACTTTGTGCAACCTCCAGGAACATGCCTCTCTTTGTGTAGTGGCATTTAACAGCACTGAAAAACCACAACAGGATTCTGGCTTAACTCTTCCCCAAGGGGAGCTCAGGTTTCACCAGCAATTCAAACTAAAAAGATCTAGGGCAATTTGTAAGTCAACTGATCACTCAGAGTCAGAGCTTATGAGGTTCTCCCATAAGTAAGCAATTTGTGCACAACATGTTTCTTGGAGAGATGCCTCTGTGCCCATGGACACTGTCCATCTGGCAGCAAGTGGTTTAACTGTTGTTTTTTGTGTTGTCGTTTTGTCCCTGTAGGTGTGAGTGTGTGTGAAGAGGATTGTGTCAGGAGGATTTGATGGTTTTCTGAGTCCACAGCGTGAGAGCTCAAAGCAACACAAAGACTTCATTGTGTGCATCACAGTCCAGCCCCTGATTCTCAGTCTCAGTGAGAATAATCCAAGAATAGCATCCAGACTTTCACTTTTTCCATTCTCTAAAGAAGACAGTACTGGAAGAATGTATAAATGCACTCCAGAGAATAGAAACCCAGCAAGGTGCTTCTCTATTACATTTCTTGCCTGACCTATATCTAGCAATGGACATTTGGTAATTCGGATAAACAATTTTCTGAATCTACAGCATGGGAGCCATGACCCACACAGGGCTCCAAGGCTGTTTTGCGGATCCTGGAGATTTTTCAAATTTCCACTCATTCTTTTGTTCCAAACAAGGAAGAATTGTGCCTCCAGGGAGTTGCAAAGAAGTTCACTGATGGCCTTGCTGGTGAATTGCAACAGGGCACAACTAAATTTCCAATCAAGTGAATTTGCAATTGCTGTGCAGTGTGCAATGTGCATGAAGATGCACAATGCACCTGTTGCATAGCAGGGCATTCACAATTCCTCCTCCACAGCCTTGAGCTAAATGCAGAATTTTGCTGGCATACTGTTTGGAACATGAAGATACATAAACATCTCTTATATGTGCAATGTCTTTTTGGGGGGGAATTGGTGTTGCTGAGTGTCTTCAAGTCATTTCTGACTTATGGTGACTCTAGGGTGATCCTTTCATGAGCTTTTCTTGGCATGATTTTCTCAGCAGGGGATTTCCAATTCACTATCATCTGTTACTCCTTACACCAGAGGTGGACAACTGTGTTGAGGAAGTATTTGTAAAAGATTCTGGGGTGGTTATGGAGAATAATAGGGTAGTTGGGCATGTTTTCGTGTGTTTTGGGAATTCTTGGTGCAGTTTAGGAACTGGCATATTATGCCTTTAAAAAAAATGGGTAGAGGGTTGTGGGATTTGCAGGACTGCCACAGGTTTCAGAGACTATTTCAGTACATTTTGTACACAGGCCAGGAGATTGTTGTATTCAGTTGTTGGTTTTGTTTTAAAAAATATCAAAACCCTGATTCATTATCCACAAATAATGAGTAAAGAAGAGTTATGTTTTAAATAGTGCCTTTACATGCGTTACTAACTACTTTTAGAGCTATGAAGCTTTGCCTAGTTGCCTTTAAAAAGTTGATTTCCAAAGCTCTCTGCAAAAAAAGATGAGACAGTAGGATTTTTATGTGGTTTCTGAACTAATCCAAAATGCTCCCATTAGCCATCAGCATTTTTTTTCCCACTTCTGCATCATTCTTCTTCTGAGCTGAATGCTCAAGAGATTCTTATTAATATCTGCCAGCCAGGATCAAAAGATCTTTCAATTTGTTGGGTTATAAATAGCAGAAGTGCTGATACTATTGGATGCCATGGAAACACAAATAGAACATGTCATCCAAATTAGCAACTTAATGGGGATGATGTGGACCACTTTGGCATGGGTTTTCCACAGCAAAAGCTCAGCAAGCTGCTTTCAGATCAAGTGATGTGCATTTAATTGTTGACATTATCGCTGCACAGATAATGCATGGGCGTCTAGTGAGACGCCGCAGTGGTCGGACAAACCCAAAAATATTGTGACTGCAAAGGCTAATAATATCCCCTATACATGCAATTTCAATTTTCACAAAATGTTATTGTATGCCTTCAAGTTGCTTCCGACTTACAGCAACCCTACGGCGAAACTATCATTGGGTTTTCTGGGGCTGAGAGGGAGTGACTTACCCAAAGTCACCCAGTGGGTTTCATGACCAAGTGGGGGATTTGAACCCATATCTTCAGAGGTGTAGTCCAGTGCTCAAACCACTGCGCCACATTGGTTTTCACTAGAAATGCACACATCTATAAAAATGAAATCTACTGGGACCTTCTCTTTCTCACCAGTGGCAGCAGTAACTTCCACATATGGAAGTGCAATGAATCTGTTGTTTTTTCTTGACTTCAAATGAGCTATCCAAGGTGCTGAATGCTAACCTCCAAATACATTCGACACCTTGGATAGTTCCTTTAAAATCTAGAAATTAAAGATACAGCAGATCCACTGAACCACTTTGCATAGAAGCCCATCCAGTTGCCACTGGCAGAGATCCTGAACTGGGAGACTTCAGTGTATCATGTTGATCCTTCTTCATAGTTACATCTCCTGTTGCTCCAAAAAACAAAATACAGGTATCCCCCTCTTTTTGGTGCCTCCTTTTTGGATAATCCACTGTTTGAGCACATCTAAATTATAGCCATGTACTGCACGTTTGACCCCTGATCTATTCTCTTGAAAGGACATGCTGTTTTTATGCAAATACATGTGAACTTTGGGCAGTGCAAGCCCCAAACTGTGAATCGTCTTCAAAACCTGCACAGTGTTTGAAGAAATTCTCATGCTGAAAATAAAATTGCTAAGACTAGGATGCTACCACATGGCAGAATCAATGCCATCTGACAACAGTTTAACCATCATGGCTCCATCCTGTGGAAATCCTGGGCTCTGTAGTTTCTCTGACAGTTGCTCTCTGGTAGAAAAGACTAAATGTCTCACAAACATACAAATCCCAGGATCCCCTAGCATTGAGCCATGGCAGTAAATTGGTGTCAAAGTACATTAGTTTTGCAGTGTAAACACAGCCTTACTTGTTGCTCCCTTTGAGAAGTAATTTTTCAAAAATTGCATCCCTGTGCCACATTTGTCAGGCTCACGGATTTGTTGTTAAGTCTTGTCTGTAAACATGCATGTTGATATATTTGGGGGTACCTGTGCTGGCCATATAGCAAAGTACAATAACATCCAAAATCCACAAAACAGTGATGAAGAAGCCAGTGGAGCTTTGGAAGTATGCATTATGTATTTTGTGCATTTTGGTTGGCCGATTAAAGGTATGCATATTGATGTTTTGGATTCTGGTGCTATCAGGAAATTGGGCAAAACATCCTTGGAATCCCTCTTAGCGTACATATTCTGAGACAATGTCTGATCTCTGTGAAGCTACAACAAAATGTGTTCTTGGAGATGAACAAAGTCAACCTCAAATGTTGCAAAGTTCTTGATCCCATAAACACATCTGGTTTGGGGTCTTGGGAGACTCCTAACAAAATACCTGCCTGAAGGACCCTATCAAATATATCATTTCCATGATTGCTAGTTTGCTTTAGCCGGTGCTCACATGCAAAGATGTCCAAATTTGCACACATACACCTCCAAAAGCAAGTCCACATGAAAAAATATACATGCTTTCATGTGCATTTTTGCAAATATTATGATAACTAGGTCATTCAGAGCTTTGCAATCCAGAGGGGGGGGGGGATAAGATGTGGAGAATGACAGACGTATCTCTCAGCAAAAATCTCATCGGACAGAAAGTTGTCTACTTCCTTATCTCTTCTGTTACTGTTTAGTCTATAAAATCTTGTGCTCAGTCTAGTGCAATTCATAGTGGTCCGCTGGGTGTACTTCACTGCCAGAAGAAACAGCAGATGCTGAACTGCTTGCCAGATTAGGAAGAATTAAGGCATAAAGCAAGAAAAAGAAAAAGAGGGGAAAGAGAAATGAAACAACAAAAAGTCAATGTTAGCTAAAAAACAACAACAACACAGCAGGAGAGACAATGAATACCATGGGATCAACACAATCCCAGCTGCACAGAAATCCAGCTCGATTCCACTAAATCCTGTAGAACACAAAACGCTTTCTGATAACTACACATTAAACTTCATTTAGCTTTAGAGAACTGGCAGAGGATTCATATGGAAATGTCCCATATCAAATAGATAGATAGATAGATAGATAGATAGATAGATAGATAGATAGATAGATAGATAGATAGATAGATAGATAGATAGATAGATAGATAGATAGATAGATAGATAGATAGATAGATAGATAGATAGATACCAGAAAACCGTTGGCATCCTACACATGCATAAATTTCCCTGTGCACTAAGATCTGTAGGGGAAGGCTTTGTCTCAGGCTGCTTCTGCACTGCAGAATTAATGCAGTTTGGCACCGCTGTAAATGCCATGGCTCAATGCTATGAAATTGTGGGAACTGTAGTTTCATGATGTAGAGAGATCTTGTAGCACCTTTGAGACTCACTGAAATAAAGAAGTTGGCAGCATGAGCTTTCTTAGACTTGAGTCTACTATATACACCTGAGGAAGCAGACTAAAGTCTAGGAAAGCTCATGCTGCCAATGTCTTTCTTTCAGTGAGTCTCAAAGGTGCTACAAGATCTCTCTACAGACTGATTCTACAGACTAACACTGCTATATCTTTGTAGTTTCATGAGACATTTAGCCTTCTCTGTCAAAGAGTTCTGGTGCCACAACAAACTACAATTCCCAGAATTTCATAATACTGAGCCGTGGCAGTTCAAGTGGTGTCAACCTGGATTATTTCTGCAGTGCAGATGCAGCCTATGTCCTACTTTTGTCCCAGGCATGTCTGGTGAAGACATGAGAGACAGGGCTTTCTTGGTGGCTGATCCCAAGTTATGTCTTAAAGATTCTGTTAATGCTGTTATTAACGTGTTTGTAATGTTGTTTTTCTGCTCTTTTCCATAGAAATGTAATTTAATTGTGTTTTAACTTTTGCATTAACACTTTTTACACTGTATGGTGATTTTAAGAAGCAGGATGGTGTCATGCTTTGAGTGTTGGACTATGATGCTGAAGACCAGGGTTCAAACCCCCAATTGGCCATGAAAACCCATTGGGTGACCTTGGGCAAGTCACACTCTCTCAGCCTCAGAGGATGGCAAAGGCAAACCCCTTCTGAACCAATATTACTAAGAAAACCCTGTGACTGGCATGCTTAGGGTCACATAAGTCAGAAACGACTTGATGGCACCACAAACAACAACAACAACAGTGTTTTTAATATCTTGTACACAACCTCTGATCCTGTGTTGGGAGAAAAGCAGGATACAAATAAAATCAAATAAAGAAAGAAATGAATTATATTTTATACTAATTATCTGGGAGTCGCCCTGGTTTTGTTGCTATTTTCATGGCACTATCAGTAAATGTGCACGCAAGGTTAGTTTTATACCATAACCTACTTTGCTAAAGAGGATACTGGGCTCCAGAGAGATTTAAGGGTCAAGATGAAATTTCCTTCTAGAAGTTTAGTTAATTCCGTCCACGAACAGAATAATTGGAGCGGTCTCCTAAGGAAGATTATGAAGACAAAATTTGTCATGATATCTCAGAGAGTAGGTCCCTGCTGGGAAAAGAATAGTGCCATTAGGAAAACAATAAAAAGGCACCGAACTTCCAAAAGTGAAACAATCATCATTTGTCATGCAGACCACAGAAAGGGCCAGTCTGCCAGGGAAAATAGAAGCAAAGTTTTGCAAAGATTCTGGTAGCAATTCTTTATTTCTTTAATAGGGAGGGTAAGCATGCACCATTACCTTGAATTTGAGAGCTCCCATTTTCTGTCCAGCACGGCACACAAGGTAGCATACTAAAAACCCAAAATTAAATGTGTGCCAACAGCCTAGATTTAGTTGTGAATGTCCAGCTATGGGTGCATCTACGCTGCAGAACTAAATGCAGTTGGGCTCTCCTTAAAGTGCTGTAGCTCCATCCTATGGAATCCTGGGATTTGTAGTTCCACAAGATCTTTAGCCTTCTCTGCTGAAGAGTGCTGGTGCCTCTCCAAACAACTGTAGGATTCTGTAGGATGGAGCCATGGCAGTTAAAGTGGTGTCTAACTGCATTATTTCTACAGTGCCCCCAAAGACCTTTTTTTTTTTTTTGCACCAATATATTTTCTAAATCTTATCCCTTGCAAAGCCCCAACAGGTTAAAAATATCTCTGAGCTGTTCTCCTTTTGCATCGAGAGGGTGTCTCAAGCACCAAGGCACCATTTCTTTCATCCAAAGATGAAAAATATATATACAAGTATCCTTCACTTCTTCATCACTTAGCAATTGCAAAGTGGTTCTTGTCCATCAGGCACAAACCCAGATTTGCAGACCCAAAATGGCAAAAATCCAAAACAAGGTAAATGGGAAAGAAGACAAATGGGAGAAGGAAAGAAAATGCAAACGCTCTGAGAGTTGATTAAATAACTCAGGAGCTAGCATCCTACTTCATCAGACACCCCCATATAACACCCAAAATGGTACATATTTCATTATATATATATTTGCTTTAGCAAGATTTTAGTCCAATATATCAGCAATTTTTAAGTATGAGAGTCTGGATCATTTCCCTCAGAATTGGATTTTAAAAAATCAAATAAATTGTGGTGGTAGAAAGCTATGCGCAGCTCCGTCTAAAGCAAAGAATTGGCAGGGTAGATGATGGCTCTAGAGCAGGGGTAGGCAACCTTTCCCCTTTAAGGGCCAAGGGACTTCATCTCCCAGAATCCCAGGAGCTATTGGTCAACAACAAATGTAGGCAAGCTATTGGTGTCAAACTGGGTTATTTCTGCAATGTGGATGCAGCCTCTGTGTCATTTATTTATTTATTTATTTATTTGCATCTGCCATGTTTGAAATTACTTTGGAATCTCACACTCCTTTCTCCCATCACTTTATGGCTTAATCTCATGTCATGTCAGTGGTTGTTTTTTTCCTCCAATGAAGGCCTCTCTCTTTCTCACTTGCTGTTTCAATCTTTGCTTGATATTTTAGGTTAAATTAAGTGACAGCGCCTGTCAGTCATGGCCCCGGGTTCTGTCCCTGCACCATGATTTCAGAGCAATTCTTTGCAGTCTTGGAGTCAAGATCGATGGTTGCATCAAGGTTGTTTTCATGAATGGTTATTGTAATTGCATGGGGATGGGGAGATGTGTAATCTTTTCACACTTCAACTCGCTGTGTTCAATTTCCCTGGCCTGCTTCTCTGACAAGTCTGTCCTTCATGTGGAAGACTGCCGTTGAGTTGGACACTCATGCAGTAAATTGTTGCTCACTTTTAATTGCTAACTCCTGCAGCTGCATGCTTCAGAGGGAATGGCATCTCAAAATATTTTTCCATCAGAGATGATTTAACAGGAAGGCTGAACCAAACTCTTGTGTTCTCTAAGGACCTTATCCCACGGGGCCAAAAGCAGCAAGAATCCACTAAGAATCAGGCGCTATAGCGCTATACATTCCCGGGTGATCACACGACGTCGCTCAGAATCGGCTAAGAATCAGGCGCTATAGCGCTATAGTTTTCCGGGTGATCACACGACGTCGCTCAGAATCCGCTAAGAATCAGGCGCTATAGCGCTATAGTTTTCCGGGTGATTACACGACGTCGCTCAGAATCCAGCAAGAAACCGCTCGGAATGCAGCATCATTCGGGTTCTTTTGAATGTCGGTTTCAGCGGGCATTGCAATAGCGCTAGCTTATCCATAGCGCTATTATCGCGCTAGCGCCATATTTATACTAGCGCTATAGTACTGCAATGATGCTCATATCGCTTTCTTGCCACTTTTGAGAGCAGCGTGGGATAAGGTCCTAAGTCCTGTCAGAAGCTCTGAAAGATTTCTCTGTGGACTTCTTATTTTAGCTTCTATTAAGTAGGGTGAGATCCAGTGTTGTGCAAGGATTTGAGTGTTGGACAATGATTTCAGGAGACCGGGGTTCAAATCTCTGCTTGGCTATTGAAAGCCACTGAATGCTTGTATGCATGGAACAAAAGACCCGTGTTCCCCCTGGTGTCATCCTTTCCAGACAATGCAAACCATGTGCCTCAGGCCAGGATCAGCCAGTCTTGATGCCAATCCAGCAGCCCCAGACCAATCCAAGTCCAAAGAGGCATTAATCTCATCCAAGACCAGCTTTTTGCCATGGAGAATGGCAAACTAAGAGACCAAATGTCCACTGAATACACAGTTCAATGTACATGCACACCCATCTGCAATGCACAGTTGCATTGCTCCTGTTCTTGCCTACATTTCTCTATCAGACATGGGAACTGAAATATCCTTCTGAATTAGCCTTTGTGACATTGTGCCTCCATCAACTTAATGGACCACTTGCTGTTATGACAATATAGAAAGTGTCACAATGCCTTGGCTCTCAGGCTGGTACAATAAGTAAAGCCTGGGCTTCTGCATGGGCCAAAAGGTCCATCACCTCCCTCCTGTTCTGGCAGCATCCTGTGGTCCTGGTACAAGCTGTCCAGATGGCATCCAGCATGTTCCACATCAGAAACAGTGTATAACATTCTTAAAATTGTTTTTAAAAATATACCTGTTGCTCCAGAGCCCTCTGTTCCCATAGTGGTTGTCTGCATGGGTGTCCTGTTGAACCACCTGGCACATCCGATGGCGACGACTTATGGCAACACTAAGGCAAAACTGTCACAGGGTTTTCTGAGAATCCTCTATCATGTAATGATAATTTCTGGAATCCTGTTAGTATCTTGATGTTTCTGACCTAGGGTGATCCTAAAGTGAACCTATCATAGAGTTTCTTTGACAAGATTTATTCAGGGCAGGCTTCCTTTGCCTTCTTCTGAGACTGTTGAGAGAGTGTGACTTGTCCAAGGTGACCCAGTGGGTTTCCATGGTTGAGTGGGGATTCAAACCCTGGTCTCTGGAGCCATAATTCAATGCTCCAACCAATACGCCACACTGCCTATTCATTGTTCATTTGCATATAAATTTTTGGTTGTGCATTTGGTTGCACAAACTCACAATTCACTAAAATGAGGCAGCATTACACAACCTCTTCATCTGTCTCCTTGGTACAGGATCTTGGCCCTAGAACAGATTCATTTCTCAGTTGACATGGAGGCCACCAGTTGTCACTGTGTGTGCCTAGACGTTGTTGAACTACAGATCTAATCTTCCTAGCCAGTGCATCCAATGGTGAGGGGTGATGGTGCTGCAGTCCCCAAACACCTGGAGGTTGCATGACTTTGTACTGATAGCTCATGCAAGGCTGCAGGTTAATGCATTGATTTTGTTCATTTTCTTCTATTTCTCTCCCACCTTCTTGCTAACAAAAACATAAACCCAGTGCTCAGGATGGCTAACAATCCTTAAACATCAGTCTAAAACAAATTAAACACTGTAATGATGAAACCATTGCAATCATTACATTAATCAAGCACAACCAAGAATAGTCAGCAACACTACTGAAAAAACAGGTCTGCAAAGCTACTGCAAATCAAAGAGTCCAGGAACTACTTGCAACTCCAAGTGGTGTGCATTCCATAATTTGGAAACGATGCAGGAGAGAGTTTTGTCCTATGTGCCCATGAAGCAGGTCTCCACATCTTATGGTATTCTCTAGTGGAAAGAAAGTCTTCATTCTAAAACTGGAAGGATTAAATCAGATTTTAAAGCTATCATACAGCTTGGAGCAATTTTCTCTAGGTAATTAGCTTAAGATGTTGCAATGATACAAGAACAAATTCTATTTAAAAGTGCCTCAGAATTGAGAACCACCTAGGAAATATAACACTTATACAGAAGTAGGCATTCTGTTCTCAGATTTTCCATGCTAGAGAGAAAGAGCAGGTATCTTTTCATATTAACATTCACAGCACTACGATCCCACATTAACGGCCGTGGCTCCTGAGGTCTGTAGTTTAAGGAAGAGAAACTTTCCAACATAATGCAAGCCAGCCCTAAATTACAAGAAGCCTGTCTCTTTCAGCTCTTCCACATTGCAGAAATAAAGCAGTTTGACACCACTTTAACTGCCATGGCTTCATTCAATGGATTTGTAGTTTGAGAGGTCTATAGCCTGGTCTGTCACAGAGTTCTGGTGTCACACCAAACTAAGATTCCCAGGGTTCTGTAGGATAGAGTCATGGTAGTTTAAAGTAGTATCAAACTGCTTTATTTCTGCAAAGTAAATACACCCAATGTTGTTTCATTTGTCCTCAGAAACTCACATTCCTTTCAGCTCGATTGCATCAGTGTTGTCATTTTGCGATGATTAAAGGGAGGTTAAATAAACTACATGTAAGCAATATTTTATCATGGCACACTTTTAATCTTTCCCTTCCTCTGTCATTCCATCAATATTGCCATTCACTGTTTTCTCGGTAATTGCAAAGCCATAAATTTTCTTCAACCGGTGGAACAGATCAAGCTTTAAATTAAAGGGTATCTGACACAACCTGAAGAGTCTTCTACTCCTGAACCAGCAGGTCGCCTTAATGGTTCGAGTCCTTTTAACTTTATTGTTTCAAGATCTCTGACATTTTGATAGTATGGTGAAGCCATGCATTACAAATTAAGATATTTGGGTTATTATATACAACTTTTTTTCCCCTTTCCAGCCTTCGCCCCAGCTCCCCAAGAACCATTTATCTCACATGGCTGAACCCTCATTCATCACTGCTTTCCTCCAGGATTTATGATTAAAACTCTATGAATGGTACAATGAAATGGCTAGCATCAAACCATATCACCAGTATAGAGATTGGGGTTCTACCATAAGCTAAGGGAAACATAGAGCAGGGATGTGAAAATCTCTCTGGGCTTGTCTACATTTGCTTCATACTCCAAATTCCTTCTATACACCACATAGCCCCTAAATCCTAAATTGGGTCCAGGCTGTTTACACAATCCTCAGACCTGATTCAGGTTTTCCACCCCTTATCCCACATAAAAAGACTTATCATTTCTCTGAGTTTTCCAGTGATGGGTGATTGATCTGCTCTGTGGACCCAAATGTGATGGGACCTTTTTAAATATCTAATTTGCTTTCCCCTTCCAACTTAAGAAGGTCCCCTGTCACTAACATTTGCCTCGCTTTTACCCTTTTAACACTATCCTTAAGCAGCTAGGATCCCAAGTGTCTCCATAAACCAGTTCTAATATTTTGTTGTTTTGTTGTTGTGTGCCTTCAAGTCATTTCTGACCTTTGGCAACTTCAAGGTGAACCTATTATGGGGTTTTCTTGGCAAGCTTTGTTCAAAGAAGCTTTGACATTGCCTTCTCCAAGGCTGAGAGCATGTGGGTTTCATGGCCAAGTGGGGAATCAAACCCTGATCTGCAGAGTTGTAGTCCAATACTCAAACCATTACACCATGCTGGCATATAGCATGTGCAAAATTTGTACACATGTACAAAATATAATATCCATATTCATCTAGAGGTTTCACAGCAGCAGCTCAATGGCACCCAAGTGTGTCTCTGCAGAGGTGTGTGGAGCTCTTCTTGGCACCATCCCCTTACACATCTTGTGAAAATGGAGCACAACTCACCACTGGACCAGTGGTGTAGCTACACAAGTAAATATTTATTGCACACCAGCAGACCTATTGGATCTTGGCCAAAGTCACTTCATGATTCACTGGCAGTAATGAATGCAGAATCATATCTGCTTTGTCTTCAAGATCCTCTCACAGAAAGAATTAGCTCATTGTTAATGCATTCGTGTTTGTTTGAAGGAGATGATTAAACCGCCATTCAGTTCTCCCCACTAACGTGGAATGTACTTTGCTGTTTTCACACAGGTGTGCATGAATATTCAAGTGCAACACCAGGAAGAACAAGGAGCAAAGTCTGTTTCTCAAAGAGGTGCTGCTGGGAAAGGCTGGGAAACACCATGCTGGCTCTGTATGGAATTATTAGACCAAACCAAACATAAACATTCTCCATGCAAGCTTTCAATCCACATATATTTCTGCAACAGGCAAAGATGGTGGAATCAGGTCCCAAACAGCATTTTGTGCCCCCCCTCTCTCTCTCTCACACACACACACAAAATTACTGGTGTGTGTATGTTTTCGTCTACTTTCCAATGGAACCACTTCCCTGCCATGTTGCCTGATTGAGATTGAAGTAATCATAATTGTACAAATCTAAGTTCCTTGAAAAGACAAATTTGTTCTCCTGCTTGCTGTGTTTATTTATTGATTCCTCATCTCTAAAACTGCTCTAAATCTGTAAAGGTGCATTGCAAACCCTTCTTTCAAAATAGGGGCAGCAATTTCATTGCCAACTCTTATAGAATTTCTCTGTTGTGTGACAAAGGACCTATTGACCAAGTTCAACTTTATAAGAAAGGTATTTGTGCCTCTTCAAAACTGTACTTAGAATGAGGCTTTCTTCTGAGAATATTGGAGATATATTACCTTTCCAAGAAAAAGGCAATCATTAGAGCTGATTAGAATTGTTTATATGTTCTGGTTTTGCATGAAAATAAAAAAAAAACCTGTGCCAGACAGAAGGCTTATCTAGTACAGCATTCAGTTCTAAATGCAAGCAACAAGTTGCTTCCAGCTGCAGTGGCAGCAGGTGGCTTCCATATCAGCAGGGTGCAAAACACACTTCCGATTTTAGTCTGCTGCCCAATAAAGTTATTACACATGTTTCTGCTTCTTCATTTTATCAACATATATCATGGGTGAGTAACATTAGATGACCCAGGGGCCATTTTTATGCATCAAGAATGGTCCAAGGGCCACATGGATTGCCAAAAACATTGGGGGGTGAACAAAAATAGGAAAAATAAAATAACAATGTCTGGGGCTGCATTGATCCCAGAGCTACCCCAGTGTTCCTCCACCATTACCTGGCCACTCTCTTGCAATGCCAGCCAACTGTTTGTATGCATGTCCCACTGTGCCACCCAGTGCAACCGCCACCATGTGGCACTCCCATGAAAAGGTCTCTTTCAAACTCTATGATTCCATGATCCTATTATCCCCTGTGAGGCCAAAAATAGCTGGGCACCTTGTTCTGACATCACCTTGTTATAATCAGCAGCGGCCACTGCATCAAGTGGCACAGCCACTTGGCATCGTATTGGAGAGTGCCAGATCTGCAAGGATCTTGTAGAGTTGATTTAGTGCTGAATGGTCTGGATGTTGTCCAGACCATTCTCACCAGAACTAGGGTTTGATCCATTTGTCATCTCAACTCCCCACCAAGAGGATGAGAGAAGGACATTTTATTTGGTCCATACAGACAGAGCCAACAACACTCAGAAGTATAATAGAATCCTAGAATCATAGCATTGGAAGAGACCTCAAGGGACCATGCAGTCCAACCCATTCTTCCATGTAGGAAGACACAATCAAAGAACCCCCAACAAATGGCTATCCAGTCTCTGTTTAAATATCTCTAAAGAAGGACACTCTACTACACTCAAGGGAGTTTGTTCCACTGTTAAACAGCTCTTAGTGTCAGGAAGTTTTTCCTATTGTTGAGCTGGAATCTCTAAAGCCTACTTGTAGTTCTGCAACATGGGCCTTTTTGTATGTTGTATGTTCAGACCTATTGAAAAGATGAATTGTCTCTCCTGGACGGTTCTAAGAGAGGTAATTTGCCCCCATCTTCCCACCTTTTCTCTCCCCTACATCCCCATCAGAGGTTGGGCTGGAAAAACGGCCTTGGAAATTTGCTCTTTGCCCACCTCAGATCTATATGAAACAAGTACAAGATCTCAGTGTAACATGCACACAACTTTTGGCTGGCTACCACCTTGGTACTTCCAAAACTAGCAGGAAAAAAATAAATCCAGGCTTTGCAGATGTCAGGGAAATGCTTGAAGTTTGAAATTACTTGGCTTTTTGTTTTAAGCAGAAGCTTTGCAAGCACAGCCGTGAGTTGGCTGGTTGACAGGAGGGCATGGCTCTTAGCTTCTTGGATTTCAGAAGCTTGCTGTAGCTGC